TTTAATGGAGATCTTTTTTACTATGTATGTCTTCAAATTACTTTCTAGTCTCCTTTCTTTCCCATCCGAATGACTCCCATTAACATTTCGTATAGGCAGTGGTTATGAACTCTCTCAGCTTTTTTTTTTTTTTTCCAAATCTGGGAATGTCTTATCTCACTCCCATCCTGAAGACTAGTTTTGTCAGATACAGTATTCTTGATTGACACTTCTTTTCTTTCAGCACCTTAAATATTTCATTTCTTCTGGCTTCCACGTTTCTGAGGATTGACTGTATCTTCTTTGGGGAAGTGTCTAATAAAATCTTTTATATATTCTAGATACAAGTCCTTTATCACAAATACATTTTGCAAACATTTTCTCAGTCTGTGGCTTGACTTTTTTTTCTAAAGTGTCATTTTGATAGCAGCAATTTTTAATTTTGATAAAGTTCAGCTTGTAACTTTTTTTTTCTTTTATGGATTGTGATTTTTTATCGTATCTAAGAAACCCTTGTCTAACTTAAGGAACTTAACATATTCTCCTGTACTTTTTTCTAGAAGTTTTATAATTTAAATTTTTACATTTAAGTCTTTGATCCATTTTGCAGTGATTTTTTATGAATGGTGTGAGATTGTGTTTGGCCTATGGGTTTCAATTGGTTCAACACCATTTGTTGTAACATTGCCCTTTCTACATTGAATTGCCTTTTCACCTTTGTTGAAAATCAGCTGACCATATATGTGTGAGTGTATTCCTGTACGATCAATTCTGTTCCAGCGGACTATATGTCTATCTCTTTTCCAGTCCACACTGTTCTTTTTCAGAATGGGTTTAGTTATTTTAGTTTGCTGTTCCATAAAATTTTAGAATAAGCTTGCTGGGATTTTGATTGTAGTTGGGTTGAAGCTGTAATTTGCGGAGGGTTAACATCTAGAAAATATTGAGTCTTCCAATTCATTAAGATGGTTTATTTCTCTACTTATTTAGGCCTTTTTAATTTCCCTCATCGGTGTTTTAATAGTATGCATAGTTATCTTGCACATGTTTGTGAGATTTATACCTGAACTTCTTTGATGTGTTATTGTTAATGTTACTGGTTTTATTTTTAATTTCCGATTGCTTATTGCCAGGATACAGAAACAGTTCATTTTTGTATATTGACCTTTTGTCCTGTAACCTTGCTGAACTGACTTATTCTAGTAGCTTTTTAGTATATTCTTGGGGATTTTTTTTTAATCTAGACAATTATGTTGTCTATGAATACGGACACGATGAATGCCTTTTATTTATCTTTCTTGTCTTATTGCATTGTTTAGGACGGTCAGGAGGATGTGGAATAGGAGTGGTGAGAGTTGACATTCTTGGTTTGTATCCAGTCTTTTTAGACTTTCACAATTAAATATAATTTAGTTGTATTTTTTTCTCGATGCCCTTTATCAAGGTGAGGAATTCCTTTTAATTCTTCATATGCTGAGAGTTTTTATGATGAATAGATACTTAATTTTGTCAAATACATTTTTTTATATCTACTGAGATGATCATATAGAATTGTATTTTTAGTCTGTTGCTTTGGTGAATTACACTGATTGATTTGTGTTCCCAAGGTAAATCACATTTGGCCATGGTGTATTATCCTTTTTACATATTGATGAATTTAATCAATACTAATTTATTGAGGATTTTGTGTCTATGCTTATAGGGGATATTGATCTTTAGTTTTATTTTTGTGTAATGTCTTTGACTGATTTTGATATCACAGTAATCTGACCCTCATAAAATGAGTTGGGATGAGTTCCCTCTTCTCTTTTGTTGAAGTTTGTGTGGAGTGCTTAATATCCTTTTTAAAATGTTTTGTACATTCACCAGTGAAGCTATTTTGCCCTGGAAATTTCTTTCTTTTTTTTTTTTATGTTGTAGTTTAAGTGAAAGTTTATAATTCAAGTTAGTCTCTCATACAAAAATTTATGCATACATTGTAATGTGACCCTAATTGCTCTCCCTGTATTGTGACAGCACACTCCTCCTTTCCACCCCTGATTTCCTGTGTCCATTCAACCAACTCCTAACCCTCTCTGCCTTCTCATCTCACCTCTGCACAGAAGCTGCCCGTTTAGTCTCATGTATCTACTTGAGCTAAGAAGCACACTCTTCATGAGTATTATTTTATGTCCCAAAGTCCAGTCCAATCTTTGAAGAGTTGGTCTTGGGAATTGTTTTAGTTCTGAGTTGACAGAGAGTCCAGGGGCCATGCTTTCTGGGATTCCTCTAGTCTCAGTCAGACCATCAAGTCTGGTCTTTTTACTAGAATTTGAGTTCTGCATCCCACCCTTCCACTGCTCCATCAGGGACTCTCTGTTGTGTTCCCTGTCAGGGCAGTCATTGGTGGTAGCTAGGCACCATCTAGTTCTTTTGGTCTCAAGCTGATGGAGTCTCTGGTTTACGTGGCCCTTTCTGTCTCTTAGGTTAATTTCCTTGTGTCTTTGGTGTTCATTGTCCTTTGCTCCAGCTGGGTTGGGACCAATTGATGCATCTTAGATGGCTGCTTGCAAGCTTTTAAGACCCCAGATGCCACTCACCAAAGTAGGATGCAGAACATTT